GTTGGTTTTCGTTGTTGGGTTTTTTTTTTAAAATGTGTGTGTACATGCGTGGAAACGGCGGATTGTGTAACCTCAGAAAACCTGTCGCGCGAGCCCGTAGGTGCCTTCCACCTCCTGACGGGATCCTCCGAGGCTGCCTCGGTGCTGGCGGTACCTCCAGCGCTGCTGCTGCCTCTATCGCCGTTTCCTCCTCACCTCCTGGCCCAGGAAACCGGACTCGCTCACATGGCCTAGTACATTATTAAACGATTTCTGGGTGCCCGGCGTCTTGGGCATAAGGGAAGTGCGCGCGGATGATCGTATCCGCCTGTGAACAGTCATGATAATTGCACTCCTGGTTTACTCGGGTATCATAAACGTATGATATGAACTCTCGCCCGGGGCAGAGGTTTATTCTCTCCGTGATGGATATCTTGTGCAGCTACTTGCAAGGCAGGCTGTGTGGGTGACATAGATCCTAATGAATAAAGCTGCTTATTTAGAAAGACCGTTAGATGAAGCAGACTAAAAACACCTTGCATTCCCATTTACCGAGTTCATTTAAGATGTATCTGATCTTAAATGCCTACATAGAAAGGGCTGAATATTTCTAAGCATGAAAAGGGCTATAGAAATTAACTAATGAGGAATCCAGTCATTTTTATTCTGCAGCTTTTCTGCCAGAAGCACAATTTTTTCCCAAGCTTTCAGAGATTACACAAGGAGAGGGGACTAGGGCAAAGTAAAAAGACAGGAGACTTGTGGAGAAAAACGTGAAGCAGGTAAGCAGAGTAGGACAGAAACTTGAAAGGCTTTTTTTTTTTTAACCTCTCTGTTTTATATTCCTGCCCTCACCAAAAAAAAAAAAAAACCACCCTCCAGAAAACTGTTCTCAGCTCAAACCAATGCAGAGGATCAAGGAACACAGAAATACGTGGCAATGCCAAAATGTCATCTTAGCCTGGAGTCCTGGTGCTGGTCTTGGCCAAGTGTCCGCGCTTGCTAGCAGACAAGGAAAGGAAGTTGTGAGACAGAATATTCCCCCTTACAGGGATGTTGCAGGGATGGAAGGTGCCCTGACTTCCCTTAGACCTGATTTGTCCAGGGATGTTAGCTTTGGGAAGAAGTGCAAAAGATTCTCTTTTCTCTGGAGTGTGAGATATTGGTAGAGGTACAATGCATCTTACTGAACTTAACTAGACCGTCCTCCTGGTAACACTTTTTTTGTCCTCAAAATGTCTATGCTACGTTCCCTGGCTTGTGAAATTTCTCTTGTGGTGTTAAATTTGGGGAGGAGTCAAATGAGAAATTAAGTTCTCCTCCTACACAGTGAAACCTCGAGACCGTGGCCTGGTTGCTGAGAGGGTTGTTTCCTTTTCTTCAGTTATGTCTTTGATATAAAGTGTCTCCATGATTGTATCCTGAAGTAAAAGCAGATTGTAAGAATAATACCTAGGGCAACTTATAGTGTGTGTGTGTTTTAAAGGCTGTATTTTTTTTTTTTTTAAGAAACGCTTTCCTCTTTCCTTCTGCCCTTTTGAACATGTCATAAAAATTCAGATTTGTCTAATAAAATCCCATTGTGCTCATACCCAGATACAGGCCTTGGGGATGATTAAATCAAATTGCTTCCTTGACACACAGTTGGCAGTAGGACTTACTGACTCAGAACTTGAATTATATACTTTTGCAGCTCTTTTGTTTTAGCTTTTCTTTCTTAATTTCTCTCTTTCTTCCTCTCCTTTTGCAGTTAGGTCTTCAGCGTGAGGAAGTGCTTTTTCCCCCTTATTGAATGACTCGTTACACTGATGCGTGCTTCTGTTCTATGAATGCTACTGTAAATTAGCCTTTGCATCAAGATGTTGGTAAAATCTTCTTCGGATTGACTGTATGTGGGGAATAGTGTGTGAGAACTATAGAGATGAGGCAAGACATAGAGGGAAAGATAAGGTCCTGGCTCATAACTATGTGCCGGGGGGGATTTTTGTGCAGACAAGATGAAGAAGGGCTTCTCCCTAAAGCTGTATCTGTTTTCATTTGTTCTCAGCTATACTAGCTGTTATTTCCCCCTACACAACTTGTCCCACTGCAGGCACCAAAAAATCCCCAGGTATCTGGGGAAAACCTGGAGCCTGTTACTCATATGATGTGCTTGTGATTACATTGGAATGCCTCTTCACTGACAGACGCTCTTGTTACTCCTCGGGTCAGAGAGAGGATCTGCAGCTTGTGTTCACTCTGGCAAAAATGCGGTTCTGGATGTTACTTCATCAGGTCTTTCTGGGAAATCGGTGCCCGTTGTGGAATGAGCTGGGCTGCTCTTCATACAGTGAAAGTGAGAGGTTATAAAGAGATGGGCTCTGGCTTTGAGTGCAACAAACTCCAGGATGTGCAGACATTATAAATCTTACTGTTTAGGGGATTGTTCTTCCTTTTCAGAGCTGTAATAGGAAGTTACCAGACAAACTTGAATGTTCCACGAAGAAGGATTTTGAAGTTAGGTTTGTGAAGTGTAGCTACTTGTTATACGATACCTGTATACTTGAAAATTGGTGTCAGTCACAAAATCGGTCTATTTCAATAACCAGCACATGTAAAATAGTTTAAAAGGTATAAGTTCATCTAATGAGCAGATACTTGTTCAGAAAATAACAATATAAGTGCGTAAGTGAAGGTAATTCCTTGCTGGAAGGGTGCGGCAGTAATTTGACCTTGGGAATAATTGCTACAGTTAAAAGATTTTTATGGAGTCGTAAAATAATTTAGGTTGGAGGGGACCTCTGGAGGTCACGTCCAACTGCCTTCTCAAAGCAGGGCCAACTCTTTTGTTAAATTGGGTTGTTCATGGTCTTGTTCTGTTGTTTTGAATATCTCCAAGGACAGAAATTCTTCAACCTCTGGGCAGCCTTTTTCAGGGCTTAACTCCTACTGCTATGCGGATTTTTTTCTCTATGGGATGCCTGTCCACCTCGAAGGTGGCAACTGGCCCAACAGTTGTCTGGGGAGCATGCGATGTGCTCTGCCCAGTGGACTTGGGAGCGTGAGCCAGACAAGCTCGGCCTGGGTAAAACACCTATTCATAGCTAGTCAGGAAGCCCTGTTGAAAGACACTTGTGACTTGCAGTCCCATTGCATGATGCCATTGCTAGAGTTAGAGAAGCTACGTTACAGCATTCAGTTAAAATTCTTTAATGAAATCCGTCGTTGCCATCCTCTTTTTCCTTCCCGTTTCTATTACTAGGACTACCTCCATTGCTGTGACTTCATCTGTTTCCTTGTGTTGATGTTTGTCTGCTGCTGTGCACCTAGAAATGTTTGTGGGGCTTTATTGTTTTGCTCTTTGGTCACCTGCATGCTTGATTGAGTAACTTGAGACCTGTTGTGTATCTGTAGCCTGTGACTTGCTCTTGTTTTTTTTTTTTTATTTGGGGTTGTTTTGGGTTTTTTTGGTCACTTCTGGTTTCTCTAAACAGTTAAGTTTTTTTCCCTAAGCTTTCTAGTGAAGGAAGCCTACTAATCAGGAGTAGCCTTGTGCAAAGTTTTGACATCTTTTTTTTTTTCTTTAGTTAATATTTATGTCGCAAAGTTAGCTTTTTCTACTTATTTCTGTATCTTTTTCTGAGGAGAGACTGTTTCTTCTTTTGATGCTTCAAGCTTCAAATTCTAAGATAATGCCAAAACTGTCTATAGATCAATATGAGCTTCTTAACAATGGAGTCTCCTTTTTACCTACTTTTAAAAAAAGGATCTCCTAATTAAGAAATGAATTGAATGTGTGGATTTGTAGATTTTCAGGTGTTCTCTTTTATGTGAAGAAAATGATCCAAACTTCAGGCCAGTTCTGGATTATTTTTCTGATAGGACTGTAAGCAGTGTGACCCACAAAGTGAAAGAAAAACGTTTGACATCCTGCGATTACATGTGTGTACTTCTTAGTTATTGTTATCGTGGTATATCCTGTAGGAAAGAAGATTATAAAGAGGCAGAATTTTATGGGGGTCTGGCCAAGTGTTTTATAATATCATAGCACAGTTCTTGGCTGGTGGTCTAAATTGCAGAGGAAGCAGCGAGCCTTTTGAGCTAGGAAGAGTTGAATGAAAAGAAAATCACTCTT